AAGGGCCTATATAAATCCAGGCCATGATGTCTGCACCGCCAACGACCTGAAGGAAGCTTTGCTATCCCACCGCGGTTTGGAAGGTGTACGAGTGGTGTCTTTGGATACCATCGGAGAAACGCCAGACGATGCACAAACCATTACAGGAATCACCAAGTTGAACCACTTTGAATTTACTTCGATGGGCTCTATTTCCTGTTGGCGCGCATATTCTGTCGGTCAAGGGAAAGTAATCAAAATAGAAAAATCCTCTTCTGGTGAGTTAATAGTTCCTGAATGGATCCAGGCCTTGCTACTACTTAATAACAGTCTGTTCTGTAGGCAGGTTTGTTTCAATTACATGTAAGGAAACATTTTATCTGCATGTATCACAAGATACTTTCCATAAGAGGTTAAATGTTTACAAAATGTTGCTCAAACAAACATAATACAAGAAAAAAAAAAAGGAGGGGGGTATTTTAAACCCCTCTTACGTGGTATCGTGGGCTGCCTTCAAGTGTTGTGTGTTAATTCACGATATCTATTTCATAGCTGTGTGGCTGTTTATGTTTCTCTTACTATTTTTGAAGGTCCTAGACAAGGGATTCTGCAAGAATCATTTTCTGCAGGAGATTTTCGTTCCTTTAAAAGTACCTACCACAAATCGTCAAGGGAGGAAAATGTGCTTCAAGAGACATCTTTTGAAGCTTCCATGGAACGTAGTCAGGGACCAGGGGTGTATTCCTGTCCTCAAGACGGCTGCGTCCGTGTTTTTGAAAGGCTTTCAGCCTTAGAAAAGCACTTGTCACTTGAAAAATGTACCAGGGTACCAGAAAAGCATTCATTAATGGAGTTGGCAAAAGTCTTTCTCTGAAAGAAGGCTAGGCTCTCAGAGTAATAAAGAAGGCTTACAGATTCAACGAAAAACAAAAGTCGTACCTTCCGTCTAAATTTCGAATAGGGCCGACGACAGGCCTAAAGCTTGACGCTAAGGTAGTTGCTCGAGATATGCGGCGTGCCCGGGGCACCGATGGTGCACGACTTTCCCAGTCATCGGAATTTCTCACATCTACCCAGATCACCTCTTTCTTCTCAAGACAGAGTGCGTTAGTACGCCAAAGAGATGCTGATGACGCTGAGATCCGAGAAGCTCAGGAAGAGAGTAATTTTAGCGAGGCAAAGGAGACTGTCACGTCAATACAACTTGACCATCCCCTGATCTACGATCAGTACGATCTTTGTGAAATGGCGCTAAAGAACTCTTTGAAAATCTTGAGGCTACCCATGTTGCAGCACATATGTGAATATCGTGGCCTCAAGATACCATCAAAGCCTATTCTTAAGAAGGCCCCGTACCTGGCTCTACTGAAAGAGATTGTCAGCAAAGGTACTTGCCAAAAGTCATCATGATGCTGACTTTCTCTTTTGTTTAGCAGAATGGGAAAGTGAGGAAGAAACGAATGAACGGCGTATCGTTCCTAATCGTCAGTTAATGATTATCTTATTTTTTAAAAATGCAGGTGGGCCGGATCAGAAGTTGTTGCGTTTTTTTTTTTTGTTTGTTTTTCTTGTAATCATGCCAGTATTGACCCTCACTTTTCTTTTCTGATCTTCACGTCATTAATGAAGTTCACTCATCTGGTGGCCGAAATATGCCGTCTGACGGATGCGGGAGAATTCAACCTACATTTCTATCCGCTCATGTTTAATGCGGGATTTCTTTCTCTAATTTGACGACGTTGTCCCTTCAGTTGCGGTTTTAACGCGCGTATGTTCAAGCACCCCCAAAATGTTTCCATTAATAATTACCAGGAGAATAAGACCTGTTCTCTTGTATTAAATTACGTTGAAGGTCATAAGGCGCCTTTCTTTGTATTTATACTTACAGAAAACGAGTTCCCATTGTAAAAGATAAAAAGTATTTAGATTATCAGTGTGGAGTCAAGTCTTAAGTAGCTTCTTTCGAATGTATCTTTTGCATTACTTGAATGTGAGCAGGTGCTAATGTAATGTGTACTTCACTTGCAGATTTTTCAGCCCAAAAATGTTTTGGAGAACCTTATCAAACATCTTGCAAAATTTTTGACCTGTCTCTTTACATTTTACAGGCTATAAGTCACTACAACGGAGACCGAATTTAATTTGGATATNGAATGGCGGTCTTTTCAAGCGTATGATCGTACGGAAGGTCAGGCCATATAACAGAAAGAGCCCTTTTCTGGACGTCTTCCGGTGCGTTATCCAGGTACTTTGGCAAGTCAGCAAACACAGCTGACGCGTAATCCAATATAGATCTTACAAGTGCATAGTAAATGGCAACGATATCTTTAGGTGGAACGCCACACTTACGCAGCTGCCTTAACGCAAACAGTCTACGATTGGCCCTCTTCACCAACCAGTCAATGTGCACCGTCYGCGTAAGATCCTCCGAAACATGAACGCCGAGTAGTTTAAACGACGGGATTTGCTCGACAAGGAATCCGCCAACCATGATCGGCATGGGCACACAACTATTATAGTGAAGAAAGTCAACCGTGAGGACTTTACATTTTCGCGGATTGAGGCGCATGCTATTCTGACATGCATAAGAGTTGATATCATTTACGATGTAATTCAAAACTGAGGGGGAATTTCTAGGAATTATCTCGATGACAGTGAGGTCATCCACGTATTTGGCACGAGGAGCCCAGGCACTCACAAGATCGTTCATCATGACCGCAAAAAGTAGAGGGCCAAGCTCTGTGCCCTAAGGGACACCGCCACGTGACGTGCGCGCGCAAGAAAAAGTGGTACCAATGCGTGTAACCTGGGATCGCTCGTGCAGAAAGGAAGCTATCCACCTTATGAGCCAATCATGGATCTCATATTTAGATAGCTTGGTTAACAATATCACGTGGTCTAATAGGTCGAACCCCTTCTTAAAATCCGCGAAAAAAAACTTGATTTAACAATTATCCTTGTCTAAAGCTTCTAAGGCAAGGTGCAACAGGTAAATTATTGCCTGCTCTATTGACTTCCCTGATACCGCGAACTGCTTAATATCAAGATCTTTTAAAACTGTAGGGAGAACGCCCGTAGGTATAAAACCTTCAAATACTTTAGCAAGCTGATACGTGAGAGATATCGGGCGTATATCGTATATATATATACACATCGGACGTATAGCGTATATATAAACACTTTATATAACCTTATCTAACCTTCTAAAAGGTTATTATTTGCTTCGAGAAAAGACTTAACAATTAGCCAAACCGACTTAGATGGAAAAACTTTTGGACGAAGAGACTTTTGGACGAAAAGACCGTAATTGCTAATAAGCACACCTCTAAATCGCTAGAATTATACACAGAAACTTACTTATTTCGATGTCATTTTCATAAAAATGCTTTTCGCAAGTAAATACTTTGTCATTAGCAATATGTCGTTGGAAATTACTATCTGTAACTCTGTATTTCTTGAGCTCATGGTGCCATTCTTCGCGCCATTTGTGATAGGCTTCGTTCCGAGGTGCTGGAAGCTCCGTATTCCAATTCCCTTAGTTTTATGGCAAGTTCCACAGCCAACTACGGAACAGCTATTTCCAGGCATGTTTTTGAGTTAAAATCTATGCATTTTTAGTGAAGCAAACAGTAGTAAAAATAATTTAAAGTCAAAACATTTATCTATCAAACATATTCGAAGAACGCTGCATTGTATTGTGATGTACGGTAGTCGTGACGTCACGCACCAAAAAGTTGAACAATAACCTACCCCTTTGAAGTTCACCTGCCTTCCTGACCAGTCCCCTCGATTACCTATGTTTAGACCAGCTGGCATTTTTAAGAAGATTTCTGGGCTTTGAAAAATATCCGTACCGCGCGGATCGACTGTGTATGTAAACTTAGCTTAGCTCTGAATCACTTGACTCTGAATAACTTCACGTTTACAACACTGAAAAAAGTTAAATTGTTTTAGTGGATGATTTTTGCATTTTCAAATTAGCAGTAAAGGACTCGTCCACGTAACCGATGTGCTAAAGTGTTTATGTTTCTCGCCGTGGACGACGGTCCCGTCCCAGGCCTCAATCAGTCGTATACGTCGTCGTCCACGTTCTCGTCGTCAGTGCTAAAGGTCCCTAATATCTCTTAGCCGACGACGTAATCCGAACAACCTAGCTTTATTGACAGGTCGAAACTGAACAATTCTTACTGGCTAACTACCGTGGCCTGAATAATCGTTTTAAACTATGGACTCTTATTCTCGGTCTCTTTTCAGTCAGATTCATTTTTAGACTGCTATTCAACTGCCCACACGTCACCAACATTACTTGCATCAACCTGTGAGCTTTTTCTCGGGGAGTTTTCATCGTTTACAGGTGGAAAAACGCTATCTCTAAATGTCGGTCAAATTGAATTGTTAAAGTACTATTTAATGCTATTCTCTGAAGGACTGCATTTCGACTGCCCACGCATTGCCCACAGCACTTGGATTAACTTGTGAGCTATTCTTCACAGAGTTTCCATGATCTGCAGCAGAAGGACAAATGAGGCTCATCTTTCTTTTCAAGCGCTCTCTAATCTGTAAATGGACAGGCGAGAAAATTTCAGTTGCTAACCGCAAATCTTTTTTGATGTCTGGGAACTTCACAATTCGTTTTGTACATCTTTATTATTGAATTCTACTCACCTGGCTGTTTCGCACACAATGAAGTACGAAAATCAGAATACCCTGAAACAGACAATTATTTCAGGATTAACTTTTTTGCAATCCGAGGTAGGAGAAGTTCGATCGTTTGAGATTCCTTTCAGCAACCATAATAAAAATGGCGAAAGAATGAATTAAAGGAAGTCACATATCNTAAAGTTTCAAAGATACTAAACATTTTGTAACGAGCAAGGGATAATCACAAATTCTCTAATCGTGGTTAGTACTAGTATAGATAGTAACAACACTAATGATTCTAATAACAATAACAATAATAACAACAATAGGGATAATAACAATAATAATGACAGTAACAATACTGACGAAGCATCAATTAATCACAGACTCACAACTTCAACGGAAGCCACAAATGTCACGAAGATCCAGATCAGGCTGTTAGTCGAGGACAGCCAGCAACTGGGAACGAGTTTGAAAAAATTAACCGATGAAAATAAATTTGCAGTAAAAAGCCCCTAGCCCTCCCACCTCCATAACCCCCAGCATCAAAACATCTTCAAAGTGTAACACAAATCAAGCACAATAAAAAAAAAAAGACAGAATCAAGCGACAAGACAATAAGGAAAGAAAGAACAGAAGAGGCCTTAACTCCAGCAATATTTTGTAAAACTCGGGATATTTGAATAAAAAGAGTGAGATAGAAGAAAAATAAGGGGTAGAAACTACAGCTGCAGTAGCTATTGCTTCGCATACTATTTTTCACTTGTAAAACTCTGAATTCCATCTTTTCCAGACGCTATGCTAAGTGAAATGACCACCATGATTATTGGCAAACCTAAACAGAAGTAGAAGGAAGTCAGTGCAACTCAGGAAATCATGCGTTCAGTTTGAGACGATTTAAAAGAATGCAGGYAAAAATAACTTGCAACAAGTTAAAGAAAAATACCCCATGATATGACGTGATACTTGTGCATCTTGGTGTTGATGTTGTAAACTTTGACAACAAACAGGTAGAAATAAATTCCCTCAACCAACATCCAACAGAAGGCGGCCATCAGGAAATACTGCAGAAAAGCTGCTGCTGTGATACAGGAAGTCTGCGAGGGAGATAAAATGTTTTTGTCTGCTTTTCATGTTTTTTTACAAGATATTTTAGGCCCCTTAAAAGCAAAAAGACCATGAATGGATGAAAAAGTCACTTACCATATTTTCTGTGGCGTCTATACCAGCGAGAAAAATTATTTGTCCAGCTCCGAGTGCCACAGAAAGACTTACACGTATTTGAGACAGAGGCTGCCATATGTCTCTAGTGAAACAAGCAAGCAATGAAAAATACAAAAAATCGAAGATATAAACAACAACAAAAAACTCAAAGACAAGACGTAAACAAAACAAGACAAGATAGCCTTTCACAAGAGAGATTTAAATTATCTCGATTCAGCTTTTTATTGTTATTCTGCTGTCATCATCATCGTTACTATCTCTTTTGTTCGATTTACTTTTTGTTTTTTGCTTTTTTTAAATAAGCTTGTCTAATTAAGGCCTTAAAGCCCTCAAGATTGTGTAAAGACTTAGCTCTTTAGTCCTATGGTGACAGTACTTACGTTAGGAAGGAATATAGAATAATTGTCAAAAGCATCCCGAGGATGGAGAGGCTTAATCCCACGTATGTGATAATTTCCAGAATGGTTTCGTCCTCCTCTGTGAGCTGTGAGGAGACATGAAGATACATAGATATGTCGTTAATTAACCTAAACGAGCTGTATTACCAATGATGAAAATCAGTTCATTACCCCTGGGCTGCCATTGTAGTCAACTAAAACAGCAAAATGAGTCAGATGATCGCAGCTGCAAACTGTGTCTTCTGAGTTGCTTTCAGATGGAATTACATAGCATCCTCTCCCTGAAAATCCGCCTGAGCTAAAAATAATGATAATATTAATGATAATAATAACTGAATAACTTAATAACTTATCATTAATGATAATAATAACTTTATAAAGTATATNTGTACAAAATTTGCAGAGGATAATTTGATTCTCGCCTGCAGTTCTTGTTTTCCAAAGTAGAAGTCGCTAGCATTTTGGCGGTAGGTTTTTTGTATAGCCAACACTGACGGAGAAAAAGAAATCAAATGACGAATTTAAGAATAACACATTTTCGAAGAAATGTCCCTCGCGTTGTTCTGAAAGTAACCGTAATCCAAAAGTAATAATCATGCTGTAGTAGAGTAGTAGTAGACATTTTTATTTATACAGGATAGCCCCTTCAGTGTAGTAAACACTGGTATCAACGGGGATCCTGTTACCCACCCATCCCACCCCAGGGGAGGACATCCGTCACCAGAAGTCTCGTGCGTGGGAAATTAACGTCTCCTGCCACTAGCCCTGCAGGAGAGGGGACCTCCATTTGTTCATCCCTATCCGAGAAGACTAGAATATCTAACCATTTCTTGATGTTATAGAAAGGTAGCAAATTCTTTTCAATTATTTTAAGACCCTGAGTGTTGGTCCGACCGGGGCTCGAACCCTCGACCTCCCGCACAACAGTCCAGCGCTCTATCCATTGAGCTAATCATTGTTTGTTTCACTGGATTTCTTTACAATCCTTTACAGATCACTAAGACATCGGGAAAAAGAGTTTTTAATGCTTTTAATCATTCTAATCGACGGAAAAAATAATTCACTATCGTTACAACTGATGAAAATATATATTGTCAATGGAAATCCCACTTATCAACAATTCATTGCATCATCAAAGCAGATGAACCACTTTGTAAATAGGCCAATTAGTCAGTGGATTAATAAGTAAATGCATTATTACAACTCTGAAAATCTCACTGCCCCGACTTACCCAGTTTGTGGCTATCGATCCTCACTGAAGAATTCGCGTCAGTCAAGTGATACTTGCCATAATTAAGGGAAAATTCCTCCAAAGCGACCGCCGCATTGAAAATGAATTTTCTTATCATTCCTATCTCCTCTGTGCGTTTTGGGATGTTTTCTATACTGGCGATGAAGTTTTCAAAAACCTTTATAGCCGCCTATAACAGCATGTAATATTTTTGTTAAAGTAATATGCTAAAATTTTGCACCAGTGTGAGTCAAACAAAATATTTGAGTTTCCCATGAGTATTAGACCCGTAGATCCCCAGATCGCGGTCGGACTTTCTTACAAAAGAGTTTAAGGGAACTGTTACTCACGTAATATGTTAGCAAGGGCATATTTCTTCTATTCCTTGTAAGATCATAAAAAAAATAGGATAAGGAAATGAATAAAAACCAAAAGGGAATTGGGAAAAAAACTTAAATTTAGCAGGATGGCGAGCCGATGTCCACGAACTCGTCCAAGCAAGAAGTCGGAACATCTTTTTTTAGGGATCAATTTTCCACTTATGCCAGCTCATGTCATAATAATGATAATACTAACAAAGTTGACGACGATGATAATATAATAGTAATCACGATAGTTATGCATAGTGAAGATGATGGTGATGATCACGACGTGACGATAATAATACAGACCTGTTTGATCACGATGAAAAAAAACAAAACAAAACAAAAGGAAGAAACAGAATGAGTTCGAAGTTTTCAACCTCTATCATAAGGATCTAGAAGCTACTTTGGACGCTTTTGAAGGGAACTAATTCATTGCATTGGTCATTCTTTCTAACCATTGTTCATGTTATAAGTGGCTTAATAAAAAAAAA